GTACTATGGTTCTGCCCTTTCTCCCTCCTCTGCATCATCCATTTCTCTGAAACATCTGCCTGTCCCCTCACTTGTTTGACTCCTTGGTCACCTCACCCTTTGCATTCTAGCCCCCCTTCATTTCCTCTGAGAAGTCAGTTCCCCATCAGCCAAGAACTAGGGCAGGTAACCCTTGGATGACTTCACATCGTGCTGATTTGGTCACTGAAACACCAGTTTGGGGCCTCAGCTACAAGCTTGCCTGGGTGTCACTGGCAGCAGCTGAGAAAACAGGTCATGAAGCCTGTATGTGGGGAGCAGGAACATGTCTTTATTATGAGGCAGCGGGAGACACACAGGTAGCAACAGCGGCAGCCCCTGCCCCCACCCCCAGGATCCAGCCACAGTGGTGGCCCTGTGATCCAGTGAGTGGCCAGTGAGAAGCCAAGAGAGGCCTGGGAGTATGCCCCTTCCACCCCAGGATCCCCTATTAGCTTTTATGTGACGTATAGACAAAGCCGCCACAGGACCAAGTCTTGGCCTAGTTTACAGAGCTATACGTCAGGTTTACATATTATTTACTGCTTCTGCACGTGCAGACTACACCTCAAGGCTACATGTTATCTACTAGGCCACCTGTGCTGGAAGGTCATGGCAAAAAATAGTCTGAGAAAACTGTTTTCCCCTACAATGTGCTTTGTGTGCCACAGCTGGGCCCTGAGAATCACTCAAAACATTAGCACATCTTCAGTGGTTACCCTACTCCAGGTGTAGACTGTGGCATATAACCATTAGCAAAGTTTCATGAGGTAGACCTTGTTTATACCCATTTTTACAGATGCAGAAATTGAGGGTTAGGAAAGTTAATTTGCTCAGGGTCACATCACTAGGAAACATGAGGGCTGAAATTCAAAATCGACCTAACTCCAGAGCTTACACTTTCAGTTACTGTGCCTTTCTTCCTCCCCAACTATTCACCAAAAAAAATTTTTTTTAAATATTTTTTGATAGGGCCTCCCTGGTGGCTCAAGGGGTTAAGCACCGCACTGTGAAGCAATCTGCTGCCTCTGTAGCCCGAGTTCGATCCCCGGCCAGCCAGGGAACAACCCACATGGTGCAGCAGACCTCTCCTGTCCACCCGCTGCTCCCCTCAGCAGTGTATTTCAGTCAGTCTGCCTGTTCTGCTCCCCACTCTGTCTCTGGTGGATCCTCTCACCCCCCACATCTCTGGCCTATACCCCAGCTCTTGTATGCATCAATAAATCTAAAAAAAATTTTTTTTGATAAACTTTAACAAAGTCAACTCATCGATAATTTGTGTTCATCAGCTATAGCCTCTGGTTTTTAAACCCATTCAGGCTGAAATCAGAAAGCAAGAAGTTCTGTGCCAGAATGATTCAAAATAGGATTTATTTATTGAATAGATGTCTTCACATGATACAAAAATAGAAGTTACAAAAGGGGAAGCAATGAATAGTAAGCTCCCCCCCCCCCAACTCAGAGATAACTAATTCCCTTTTCCAAAGGCAACTGTAGACATCTGTTGTTCCATGAGAGGTAGAACTAGAGCTGTTTTGTAAACTATAATCCCGAACCCTTCATGGATCCATTTTGTGGGTGCAAACATGTTTTTTAATGTCACTTTGAAAAAAAGACTTGAAGGGACCAAAGAGACGCACATATAGTGAGGACAAACATTGTTCACACAGCCTGGGTTTCAGTTTTACACGTAGCATAAATGTACATCTGAGTCACAGCATGTAAACTATGAAGTTCAGTTTAGAAGAATTTGAAAGTTAACGACCTGGTGAACCCAGAAGTTAGACATTAAAAAGGTCATTTCAAGCAAAAACCCTTCACCCCTTGTATCCTATGAGGAGCTTTGGGGTTCAGTTGCCTGAGAGATCCAATAAAGCAGAGTCAGGCCTTGTACCTCCATTATTCAAAGCCCTCCAGGACTCTGCTTTCATTAGGAGTAAAAGTCATGGGACATGTATTTTTGTTTGTTCTGTTAGCATCCCTTGAAAAATTCAAAGTCAAAAGTATGGGCTCAGTGATATAAATAAATATGACTTGGCTAGGGGGAGGGGCTCTGGAAGAACTTTCTGGAGACCCTTCAAAGCAGCTGAAAACAAGAATGGATACTCAATTTAGGGTCTCTCTCACTCTGGGATGATCCATCTTAAAATATAGTTATGTGACTTTCATACAATTCCCTTTGGAAAATCCTGGGATACCCAGGGAGACAGAACACTTTCCAGATAAGCTGGTCCATAGACGGAGAAACTCCCAGAGAGGCTTGTACTCCCATGAGAAGATGCTGAGGCAGTGACAAGCCCCAGTGTAAAGGTACATGGCAGAAGAGCTGCTTATTTTTTTCTTTAAGATTTATTTATGCATACAAGAGCTGCGGTACAGGCCAGAGGTGTGGTGTGGGGGACTGAGAGGATTCACCAGAGACAGAGTGGGGAGCAGAAGAGGTGGATTGACAGAATTACACTGCTGAGGAAAGCAGCAGGCAAGACAGGAGAGATCTGCTGCTCCATGTGGGTCATCTCCCTGGCTGGGGATTGAACTCGTGCTGCAGTAGCTGTGGATAGCTTCATAGTGCTGACGCTTAACCCCTTGTGCCACTAGGGAGACCCCAGAGGAGTTGCTTCTTGCATGGACATTCCTTGGTCCAAGATGCCGTTGTGTGGGACAGCAGTCGCAATAAAATAGCAAGGCCAACACTCCTGTTCCAGACACCAAAGCAGCCACCAGCATGAGAGCAAAGGAGTGCTGTCCCTCCTTCCTCCTCTCCATAGCTCTTCACTCTCCTCTGCAGCTATGTGTGGTCCAAGTGGGAGGCTCTAGTGGGGTACCCACTGACGACAGGGATATCTTCACTCTGAGGTAGCAGCTCCTGGAAATCACAGTGTATTTCTTCCTTTGTTGACTTGGTTAGTCTGTTACATGTGAGCATGTGTGGATGTGAGCGTGTGTTATATGTGAGCGTGTCTGTCTTGTTCTCTGTCAGATACTCAACGCCAAGGGATGGGCAGCTGACACTGTCTAGTCACCCACTGGTTCTATCATTTTGATAGAGAAGTAAGTATTAGACATGAGTGGAGGTTTATGTGGCCATAGGTTCTCCAAATACAGCCATTCATCAGGCAGATTCTGAAAGGATGACTTGTGTCCCTCCACCCCTGAGAAGCAGCCCTGTGTGTGCCTTTTATGGTGACTCGCCAGTTGACATGCATTTAGTATAACTGTGCCATTGTGGGTTTTCTAGGTAAAGACAGAGCAGTAGAAGGAAGTATGAGGAGCAAAAGCTCTGGTGCAAGAAAGAGCAAAGGGCAGAGTAATTGCCAGGAATCACGAAGGTCAGCAGGGTCAGGTAGCTGGGAGGCATGGTCGGAGTTCCAGTGGACAGGTAAAATCCAGTTGTAAAGGTGCACAGAAGTTTGTATTCTATTCTGTAGGCATTTAGGGATTCCTCCACAGCTCGGACAGAGGAATGACACAATCATGTAACTGAAAGCAACGTGAAAGAAGGACCAGGGAAAATGAGGTTCTGTAAACAGGGAAGCCAGTTGTGAGATTACAGCACAGGTCCAGGTAAGCGACGAAGGGCCGAGACCAGCATACTGGCCATGGAGATATAGTGAAAGCCCTAAGGGACAATCACAGGAGATGACCAGTTGGAAATGTGGGTCTGGATGTTACATAGCATGGCTGGATACTCAGACACGACAGTCACGGAGGTCCTGCTGAAAACATGGAAGAAAATAAAAACACCTCGTTTAAGTCATGGAGCATTTAGAAAATCCAATGAAAGCAGGTGTTTTTCATTTCAGAGGCTTCACTGATACCTCCTAGAAAGCTAAGGGAGGGCCTCCCTGGTGGCACAGGGGGGTTAAGTCTCAGCACTATCGCTGAGTTGGCCCGGGTTCGATGCCCGGGCAGAGGAAGACAGTGGTCCTCAGCCTTTCTCAACTGCGATAGAGACATTTATGCATATGTATATGTGCCAAATGAAAAGACATACCTTTATGTAAATGCACATAGAAACACCTCTCCAAGAGGTGGCAAAAGCAGAAGAAATGGTAAGAAGAGAGAATGAAAGAAAAGAGTAACTTGGTTTTTGAAGTCCGAGGCACCTCAGTCAACAGCAGATCTGTAGGTACATGAAAGAAGATGGAAAAAGACATGGAGCCAACGTCTCGTTTTGCAGATGTTTGAAAAAGACAAAATGCTCAGGTAGGAGCAGTCAGAAAGTCTCAGGAGCTACGGTGGGCCCAGAAACAGAATCAGGTGCAAGTGGAGTACGGGGCTTTTAGGAAGCCAGAGAGAAAGAAGCTTCCCAGGCAAAAATAGGCCTCTCTTTAAAAAGAAAAAAAAAACAAAAAACCTCAAGAATCTTACATGAACTAGTAACTAATCATTTCCATACTTATAAACATACTGGGCTACTCATGTAGAGTTGTGTATAATGCCTGTGTATGTCTAGAATTGTAAGCTAAAGAGCCTGTCAACCAGTATTTACATATAATTATGCATTTACATAAAGGCATGTTTTCCCGTTTGGCACATATACATATGCATAAACAGTATAAGTCTGGAAGAGTGTCATTTGATATTTATTAAACATCCACATGTCCCTTCTTTACATAAGGCTGTAACAGGGACTTAGTTGTTTCTGTCATCCAATGCTTGTGAGCATTTTCTGCAGTATTTCTAAACCTGTAGAAATCCGTGACAAAAATCTTGGTCCCACTTGTAGCAAGGGCATTGTAGTCAACAGAAAAAAAAAAAAATATATATATATATATTTAATGACATCCATTTTTGACTCCCTTTTGTATGCCTAATTTCTCACTTTTCATGTTATGCACTTGCCTGGTTATATAACTTTGTAAGCTATCTTGAATTTTTTTAAGGGTAAGATGGCATATAAACACAAGGAACTATATAAATGAAATCTCAGAGGGTGGCTTTAAGGTTCTGAGCATTCTGGCTGGGAGACAGACCTGTCCTTGTAGGGGGAGTTATGTGTGTGATAACAACAAGAATGGGTGTGTTTCTAGGGCAGTCCAGCAGCGACTGCAGGGAGTCAGAGAGATCGCAGCCCAGTCATACCTCTGCGGCTTACTGGTTGTGTGATGGGAGGCATGTTATTTCCTAAACCTCATTTCTCATCTCTAAATTAGTGATCTCTTCGTGCTTGCAGAAGACGGACAAATGAGGCAATGTATAGAATTATCCTATCAGTTGGACAAGGGGAGGCTGCCATTCCTGGCGAGGTATGCTACAAGAAAACTCCCCCCACCCTGTCCCCCTCCCCACTTGTCTCGCACACCCGCGGACGCCAGGCAGCTGTCTCTGGCCTGGCAGCCAGACAGGGATCAAGGCTCCCAAGTGCACCTCCATGTCCGCGCCTCCTGCGGGCCTCGGGCCGTGCATCGCCAGCCCAGCCTTGCAAACCGCTCCCTGGAAGACAGACACCCAAAGGCGCAGGTTGAGACCCGTCCACACATGTGGCTTAGTTTCTTCTCCCGTCCCCCGCGGCTCTGACACACGTGAGCGCCCAGCAAGGGGCCAGGGGCCCGCGAGAACCAGGCTGCCAGGGCCGCGCCGCGGGGCAGAGGGCGCGGGAAGGCGCGCGGGCTGTGCCCCCACCCGGAGAGCCGCGGGGCGAAGCGGGTGCCCCGGGGCTCGCGCCTCCTCTCCCGGCGCGGTGTCAGGCGGCGCCGCCGGAGCCTCCCCAGCCCTCGGGTTCCCCTTCGCGCTTCGCCCCGAGCCGGGCGAGACCGCGGGCGCGGGCACCGGGCAGGAACCGCGAGGGGCGCCGGCTCCGGGCGCTCCCGAGTCATGGGGGCAGGTTTGGGCGAAGAATACGAGCGCCCCGCGTTTGCTGAGCCGAGAACCTCTGCGCCCGTCAGGTGGGGCGCGCGGCGGGCGGCGGGGGCGCGCGGCGGGGGCGCGCGGGGCGGGGGCGCGCGCCCCGGAAAGTTTGCGCCGGGTCGGGCGCGGCGGCTGGGCTGGGCGCGCGGCGGTGGGCGGCCAGGTCGGGGCGCAGGGGCCCGAGGACGATGCGCTGCGCCCCGCCGAGCCCGTCCCGCCGCGCGAGGTGAGGCGGCCCGGAGCGCGGCCGCGGCCATGGGAACCCTGGGCAAGACGCGGGAGCCTCCGAGGTGAGCGGGACCCCGGGCGCGCCAGGGTCTTCTCCGGGGCCGGGGGCCGCGGCGCGGGCGGCCGCCCGAGACCCCAGGGGTGGGGAGGGGGTGCCGGAGCGCCGCCCCCTGCGGGAGCTGCTGTCCTGGCAGCGGGCGTCGGGCTGGGGTCGGGCAGCCGCGCCCCGGGGGCAGACGCGCTCGGGAATGGGGGGTCCGCGCGGGGCTGGGAGGACGGCGCGGGTCCGATGTCAGCGCTGGCCGGGCGAGCCCCGGAACGGCACCCCCGGGTCCCCTCCCTGCTCCGCGCCCGGCGCCTGGGTCTCCCCGCGGACGCGCTCCTCACCTCCCGCGCTCCTCACCTCCCGCACCTGCGGCGGGCGCGGGGCTCGGGCGGCGCCACCTGGCGGCTCCCCCGGCCCGGAGAGGCCAAGAGCCGGCGGTGAGCGCAGAGGTCACTTCTCCTATAGCATGGGTGGACATCTGTGCGCCCCTTCCCTGAGATGTTCTGGGAGGGTCTTGGGGCGGCAGGGGATGAGCGAAGAGTGCAGTAGGTGAAAAGACTTGGAAGGAGAAAGAGACCTGGCGGGGCCAGGTAACCTGAGTTTGTGCCCCCGAGGGGCTGGCACCTGACAAAGGCCTGGAATTGGCACAGAGCTGGGCCAGTTGTGCACCTCCCAGCTCATCCCCAGGGGTCGTGATGCGAGCGCGCGGCGCACAAGCATACCCAGGGGAGGCAGGAAGCTTTGCCATGTTGGACTTAATGAACTATTCTTTTGGCCCTTTCTGCACCCCCTCACCCCACCTCCTTCCTTTCCCTAGAGGGTCCAGCCCTGTATCTTGCTCTGGAGTGAGGGGAAAGGCTTCAGGGATTTGAGTCTATATTAAGGGGGCAGGAAGAGGACAGGACTAGAAGGAATCCTCACAAAGCTGCCTGTAGTGGCAGGAAGGCCACTGATCCAGCAGACCGGGTAAAGGAGGAGTCAGCCCTGGAGCCCTCGGTGGCTTTGCAGACTTTCATTGGGATTACCAGGCACACCGCAGGCAGGGGTGCTGGGGGGCCTGGAGGCTGGCAGGCCTCCCAGCCCCCAGCCTTCTCTCTGCCTCTCTCCTCCCTTCTCCTGGTTCTGCTTCTCTGTTCTCCTGGCGTCTCCGTGACGCCGCCCTTATAAGCCCCGTCTTAGCCCAGGTGAATCCCATCTACCTATGCCCACACCCTACTCCAGGTGCCCGCCATCAGGCATCCATTCAGGACCGCAAGGACCCATCATCTATCCTGATGGCGGGAGGGCAGAAAAGCCTGATGGTTTTTACCTTAACCTGCGCTACCCTCTGCCGAAAACAAAGTTGTACAAGTTTCCATTATCTCTGTCTTTTTCATCCCTTTGCCTTCTCAGAGGGATTTCACAAACAGTTCAACCTGAATTTTAACCTCCTTGAGAAACCTCGGTCTGAAGAGGGTTTCACCTGAACCACTTCAGAGTTTTGACAATTTCCTTTAGCAGACACGCCACGGGACCGTGGCCACTTTTAGCCTGAGAAAACATCTCCAAGTTAGTTTCTCTTGGGTTTAAAAAAATGGTTTTTTATCTTGTTTTTTTTTTATGTAATTCACTAGGAAATTGGCCAGAAAACATTTGACTACTGTCCTTTAAAAATATGCTTTTAAGGTCTTAACAGGCTATTCATTTGATGGATTTAGACACCCTTAGATCTACTCTAACAATACCTTTTGTAAATCCTTATCTGCAGCTGTTTCACCAGAAGAAACAGTGATTTGAAGGTTTGTCACAAAGCAACCAGCTAGGCTGCACCACAGCAGCAGCGCGTTTCCTAGTTTATGGTATAGATCACCGCATCTTTGTAGACCTCTCAGGTTGTAGTTTGGCTTTTAGTTTCTCTTCTCCTTTTATTCTCACATCTTGGTCTCCTGAGTCTCCCCAGTCTCCATAATGATTTCTGGACCACATCTTTCACACTGCCTTCTCTTCCTCCTACCCTGGATATTCCCTCCAAGTTCCTTCTTTCTACCTGAATCTACCCCAGTCCTTCCTAGTTCTGGTAAAAGCATCTACCTCTGAGAATTGCCTTGTGAATCAAAGTGGCTCCCCTACTGGTGAAACGAGGAAACTACTAGAATTAGAGACAGAGATGTGTTCAGAGTCCTGGATCTGTGAGAGACAGGGAGAGGCGACTAGTCATCTCCCAGCCCCAGCAGGAGGAGCTTGAAGTGGAGGCACAGCCTCTTCACCAGGGACCAGGGAGAAGTAATGTAAAGGTCTAGGAGAAAAAAGAGAATTTTACTGAGAAGGACTTTATTTTCATCTTCTCCGACTCTACCTTGGGTTGAGGTCTCAGGTGAAAAGGCAGCAGCTAAGGCAGAAATCTGAGTCATCTCAATACCTGACAATTGGCCCCAGGTTTAGAGCATTGTCAGTGCTTCCAGGAAGGAGCTGGGGAGCACGACATGGGCACAGGTCTGTCCTGCCACTACAGGTAGCTTTGAGGATTCCTTCTAGTCCTGTCCTCTTCCAACCCCCTTAATACAGACTCAAATCCCTGAAGCCTCTCCTCTCACTCTAGAGCAAGTTACAGGGCTGCACCCTCTAGGGAAAGGAGGTGGGGTGAGGGGGTGCAGAAAGGGCCAAGAAAAATTAGTTCATTAAGTCCAACATGGCAAAGCTTGGACTGACACCTGGACTGACATGGAGGCCTGACATGGATACCTGTGTCTGTACCAGTGGCGGTCACGTTGCCCTACTGAGCCTGCACTTGCACATCTATAGATGAGGGACTTCCACCATGGCCATGACATAAAGAGTCCTTCCAGACTGGGGACTCTTTCAGGGACCTGCAGAAAGAGAAAGAGTCAAAATTCAGCCTTTAAAATATCAGCTCAGCTTTCAGAGGAGTTTGTCTTAAATTGACCTGACCTTTTCAGCCTTTTTTTTTTTGGTGATGGTCTACTTGCTAGTTCCAATGTAGTAAAAGGGAAACCATTCCAGGGATGGTAAATAGTTCATAAAGTCAGAGAGGTGCCTAGTGCAAATCTCCTATGTGGCATGTCTGAGCTGTACAGCCTTGGTTATGGCACATACTTCCTTTTCAACATCGTAAAATGGAGATATCTTACCAGGCAGTAAACTTTAAAAACCTGGAAATTTCCAGTATAGAACCATACTGAGTTACTCAATTCACCATGGCTATTATAATTTTCTCTAGTTTTCAGATACGGATCTGATTCTGGGGCCATCCCAGGGCCAGGGTGACCATGGCGAGAAACTTGATCAAAATCTTCTAACACCAACTTGATCTTTCAAAATCACTGCTTGTGCTTAGCAAATCTCCAGTTTGATTTCCCTGGACTCATCCCAGGTCAAAACTAGCCCCCTTGGCCGCTGCCATGCCAGTATAACCTGGAATTCATTTGAAACAGGACATGAAGGGCCAGGGTGTCCCATTCACAGTCGGACCCATACAGAATAGCCCCAGAGTTGAGTACACTGTCTCTCAGCAGGCTGATTTCCCAAAGCTCAGGTGTGCTTGGTGTATAATTTGATGTAAGTTTCTTCTGGTTGAGATTTTATCTTGTCAGAGAAACTTTCCCCATCACTGCACTGGGAAGTGGTGCTCCCTCCTCGGACAGTATCACACTGCTTATCTTTGACACTCACAGGAGACTAATTTAAGATTTATCTTTTCATGGTCTGGGGCTGATTCTTCAACTCAATTTTCATGGGAAATTTCTAGATCCCTTTAAACAACTAAGATAGAATGAGTGTTGGACAGTTTACAAAGTATCCTCCGACAGACCATCCACTGTGGTCCTCTCTGGCCTGTCACATGGTCTTACACAGAAGGATCATGTATTGATGAATCATGTCAGTCAAAATAGCAGCTAATGTGATGATCTTAGGTATATTTCTGTTTTCTCTTTTTCTCACTTCCTGTTTAATAGAAACTATGAAATAATCAAGTCCATAGTAGAGAGAAGAGCACTATGTGCTCAGTGAAGTTGCCAGCAGCAATAGCACATAGTGAAAGACTCCTCAGAGATGATAGTTCTTTGTCTGTATATGTGGGGTTTTTTTTTAAGATTTATTTATTTATGCAAGAACTGGGGTACAGGCCAGAAGCACGGGAAAGTGAGAGGATTCACCAGAGACAGAGTGGGGAGCAGACCAGGCAAACGGACTGAAAACACTGCTGAGGGGAGCAGTGGGGTGAGACAGGAGAGGTCTGCCGCGCTATGTGGGTATCCCCTGGGCCGGCTGGGAATCGAACACGCTCTGCAGAGGCTGTGGACAGCTCTATAGCACTGTGCTCCACCCATTGCACCACCGGGGAAGCCCTGTGTTTGTTTTTTAATGGAAGAGAAAATGAAATGTTTGATTATCCTTCATCGTTTTTCAAACAACTTATTCTGATGAGGTCTTGAGCCAAAGATGAAGCCTAGTGAGAGTAGATGAAGGTAACTATTGGACTCCTTAGGAACTTTCATATAAAGCTCTCGTAAGCTTTGCTTTCTCTTAATCTCTAAGGATCCAAGGAAGGACTTCATAGAATGCTGTTTAATGATAAAAAAAAATGAGGCATAATAGTTACCTGCATTGTCAATAATGAAAACCAGAACCCCCAAAATAATCAAGATTTGTGAGAAAGGCAGGATTGGCTTAAAATCTAAATATCATGACTCACCCCCTGCACATAGATCCTCAGTCTTTGATCTCTTCCGGTGTCCTTAAAGATGTTTCTGAGGCCGCCTGACTTTTTGTAGAATCTCTGGTATTTTCTGAAAATGAATGAGCTTGACTGAATATGTGACAAACTTGAAAAATTCTTAAGAGTCAAGATTGTGGCCAAGTGGCTAAAACAAAAATATATCTATTGCTAAGAATTAAGGACTGCCAAGACAGGCTGCATGTGCCTCTCCACAGCAGGAACTGGATATAGCAGGCCCAACCTAACTCCAGGATGCTGAGTCCTAGTTGCAAGCCTGACATCTCACCTTGTTATTTACTTGGGAGATGTCTCTTTAACAGCCAACCAGTCCGTTTGGTGCATTTGCCAAGTGGGAGGGGTATGTCTTCTATCTGTCCAGCTCCCGGGATTAATTGTTTTATCTCTACTCCTGTCTTCTCCAATCTGCCTTCAGAGCACGGAGCTGCCAGTTTCTTCTTTGCCTGGCTGATCTGCTTGCGCTCACTGCCTTCTCTCTTTCCCCAGGAAACCTTCTCATGGCTGCAGAGCTGCCCCTAAAGCAAAATTAGAGGCAAAGCCAGCCAGCAGCCCCTTCCCAGCCCAGCCCAGCCCTGCCCAGATCACCCAGTTCCGAATGATGGTGTCTTTGGGACATTTTGCCAAAGGAGCCAGTCTGGACGATCTCATCGACAGCTGCATTCAGTCTTTCGGTGAGTTGGCTCGCTGCCCACATACATAAACATTGCTGTATTACTTGGTTCTTCTTTAAAAAGTGCTTTATAGATTAGCGACTTAAATTGTATTTTGACTTTAAAAATAGATTTTGAGCCTTTGAAATGTTGGAGACAGTGTGCAGTGCCTGTGGCACATGACTCTGTGGGTGTACTAGGTCGTGAGGAGAGGTGCGAGTTAAAGTGAGAAAAGTTACTGAGAGAGTTTGCATTTCGTTTTTTTGAGAACAGCGGTGTTTCTCCTGATGAAAGAGAGCGTGAGGCTCTTGTGCATCTGGTGCTTTGACATTTTTCTGTCCTTGTGTTCTTGGGACACACCAAGACAATGTTACATGAGCAAACGTGGTTATCAAACAGAAATTTGAGAGCCTTGAATCATTTGGACAAAAGAGTCTTAATAATCTCCCTGCCAATCTGGAGGGTAGTTGAGGTGGAATAGGAAGGCACCCAGGAAAGCCAGCATGTCTGTGACCGGGAGACACTGGTTATTAAGCGTGGAGATTGAGGGTCAGGGAGCTGGGGGATCAGCGCAGACCCAAGTCGACAGTGAATTATCCAGAGCTGTGCGCTCATCTGCTGTACCCGCCAGGAAGGATGCACATCTTAGCGCTGCTGACAAGCAGTGATCTGCAGAGATGGCCTGGTGTGGTTTTTGTTTGTTTGTTTTTACAAGCAACTGTCTCTTGTGATTGTTATTTGTGAAACAGTGACAGAAAAGTGAATAGTTGCTCTCTTCCAAAAAAGGAATGATGAAAATTGATGGGAAATTTGTAGATTGCCAGCGCTGTTGTTTCCCCGTACACCCCTCTTCGAACCCCTCTATCTTCCTGGCCCTGAGCTCCTGGGGAGGGTCGGGTGGCCTGATCAGATCACCGCATGCGGATGTATCCGAACTCAGAACTAGGAATTATCGGCTGGTACGTTTGGGACTTGGTCAGACTTTATTTGCAGAACTGGCAGACTTGACAATTCAGGAATACTCGTTTTAGTACAATTTAGTATGACATGGGAAAGAATAATTTCAGTGATTTCAACATCGGTTTAAAGCCCTGGGTCTCAAATGTTAGTGCAGAATCACTGGGCTTTTTCTTCCTTTTTTTTTTTTTTTAAAATAACATGGATCCCTGGACCCCACCCCCAAAGTTTCTGCTTCAGTCGGTTTGGGGTGGGGCCCAGGCATGTGTATTTCCAGCAAGTTCCCAGGTGATGCTGATGCAGTTGATCTGAAAACCCCTCTGAGAATCACTGCTTTATTGTGTGTGGTAGGCTTTTTCACTTGGAAACAAGCATTTTTATTCATCGTTAAGGATTAAATTTTAACTAATTTCCTATTTATCCGTTAACCTTTCAGTTCAGGATGTATTCGGCAGCAGAAAGGGTGATTTTCTGTTGCAAAGTGATCACTTAGAAAACACGCACGCGAGGGTGTCACAACAGACAGGGAGGCCTGCAGGAGCACTGCTGCCCGGGGCTCTTGTTCATCACAGACTTGGCTTTTACCTAGTTCCCACCTTGAACGAACTGCAAAGTTCCTTGTGGTCCTAGGAGTCATATTTTCTGGTCTTTGCGGGGCACTGTGACTGTTTAATGAATAAGTGTGTATGTTCTCTTTCCATTTGACTGTTGAGAGAACAGGGACTAGCAGGGTGTTTGTCACAGCACCTCCTCCTGTGCTGCCGGTCATGCCGCTGCCGGCTGAGCTCGGGGCTGTTTTCTTGACCTTCAGATAATCAAGACATCAACCTGAAACATACGTGACTGATTCTGAAGTTCTTGCCCCAGAAAACCTAATCTAGTAAGCAGTGTAGTCTGCTCCCCTCCAGAAACCCTACAAGGACTAAATGTTGTCTGGAATATGTTGAACCAGAAAAGAAAAACAAAAAAACACTATCTTAAACTCCCAAAACTATAAAATGCCCGTTGAGTCTAACAGTCTTTCATCCATTGTCAAGAAGCATTGGCCCGTATTTGTATCTGACCTCTTGCTGGGCAGTGCACAAGGAGAATTGCAGGGTTCGAACCCCTTTTCCCTTAGTAGGGTTTAGAATACCTGAGAAGTTGGGGGGAAAATATACACAAAGAAACTAAGGTGTGCAGGAGGAAGAACTTGTTTATACCATGTAGCATTTAAGTTCACTTCAGGGGTGAGGCCATAGATTAGGAAGAAGAGCCACTGATTGTTCAAACGCTTCTTGGGCCACAGGAGTGCAGGAAGGTAAGATGTCAAGGTTTCTTGTTTCCTGAGCTGCAGTCCTGCCACAGGTTGACGTGAAAAAAAGCCAAAGAAGGGGCAAGAGCTAGAGGGAATGGGAGACAGCACCTGCTTTTGTGACTCTGACTGTGTTCGTGCTCCTTGGTTAGCAGCCCACACAGCAGGTGGGGGAGGGTGGAGGTTGAGCTTCAGAAGTGAGTGGAGCTGAGCTGCTGAGCTCAGACTAAACCCAAGATCACATGTGTGCCTGTGTTTCCGTACGTCCTCGGAGGTGACCCGAGAATAGTACAGTGAGGCTAGTATTTCTCTTGAATTCTAGTTATTGTCTCAGGTTCGCACAGAACAGTTTTGCTTTGCAATAAAGCAGTGTAGCTTAGCTTTTTGTTAGTGAATTTAGATGGCTTCTTCTTTTAATACCCCGAAGAAATAGTACAGGAGTGTGGGGAAATGATTTTTTTAAGGGGGTACATTTATCAGTTCAGAGCCCGGTTTCAGCCACTCTTCTTGCCACTGCGGGATTAAAAAAGCAGGGAAAAATTTTCTTTTGTGCATAAAGACTAGATTCATTTCTGCTACTTTCTCAGCCTCCCTTTCACACAGCTGCTCTGAAGACGTTTGAGTTAGAACTGTGCTGTCCAGTGTGGTAGCTGCCGGCCATGTGTGGCTTCTTACATATATATTTCAACTAATTAAAATTAAATCCAATGTGAAGTTTAGCTCCTAAGGCTCACAAGCCACGTTTCAGGTGCTCAGTGGCCACAAGGGGTAGCCTGCTGCTAGGCCGAGTAAACAGAAAACATTTCCATCATCGAAGAAAGTGTTGACTAGCACAAGACAGGACTCATGGGTGGCTTGAAAGGGAAAAGCAACGGGCAGGTCTGCTGGAAACTGGAGTTTGCCTTTTTCTGGCAGTTCGCGGTAATAGACTGAATACTCTCAAAGGCATCACAGGCACATGACAGGCTTTACCGAGGGCTCTCTCACTTTAAGATTATTAAGCTTTAATCACCACCCACACTGCTCTCTGAGCAAAGACAGTACTTTTAAGGATAGGTGACCGGCACATACAAATTAAGATTACTCTCAGAGGCCTCCAGCAACCCTCCCCATGTCACAACCAAGGTTACAGATCTGCGATTAGCAACTCAGATCCTTGAGTCATAGTTCATGCTTTACCCACGAAACAACCCCCTCCCACCTTCTATTTTAATCAGGGGTCATGCTTTACATTCTCAGCATAGTACTGCTAGTTACTCCACTCTCCAGTTGAGCATAATGAGGCAAATCATCACAACCTGGTACATTTATGTCAAATGTATGTGAATCACACCATCTGTTTCAGAGGCATCAAAGACCTATGAGATCATCTGGGCTTTTCAAAATGTTTTCGCTGTGTGAGAGGGCTGCCAGTATTCGGGACCAAATGGAAGGTTTCAGGTGTCCAAATTCACAAAGCTCCTCAGTTGGCCTCTTCTGAGTGCAAGAAAGCATTTGACATCGGAGAGGAAACTGCAAACACGTTCCAGAAAGTAGCTCTCCTGCTAGGGTGTAGGAAGAAGAAACTCAGTGTTGCCATGTCAGTGTGAAGAGAGGCACATCTTACCTTGCATCTTATAATTGTAGACTTTATTTTTTCTAGGAGTTCCATATTCCACATGCATTAATTTTCTTTTAAATTGAAAACAACTCTAAAGTGGGCAGGTCCAGTATTATTGTCTCTATTGGATAAATGAAAAAAAAAAAAAATTCAGTCTCTGAGAATTGAGATTTTCAATTCCCCAGCTGGAAGAGGAAACATGAAGAGTGTTGGGTACTGCAGTTTAGAACCATGTGCTCCTTCCTCTGCCCTCAGCAGCCGCCTGCGACCTGAGCTGGAACATGTCTGGGGCTCTCACCTGGGACGAGCTTGTCTTTGGTCAGCGGAGACTGCAAGGCCTCACCATTCTGCAGGCCTGACCTCCCCTAGCATAGAGATTAAACTCCATTCAGTGCAAGACACGTTTATTGGACCCCACATATACCAGGTGTCTGCTTGAAATCCTCTCTGAACAAAGTGTTAATTAATTAAAATTACCCTGTGCATTGTGCTGATGCTATCCAGACACCTCCCAAACCAGAAATACCCTGGAACAACAACAGTTGTATTTCCCACATCATGGAGCAGTTGGACATTAAAAGCATTTTAGAGACCTCAACTAATTAAGAAGAAAAGGGTATACCTATTTTGAAAATCAGAGTTAAAGTAGGCAGCAAATACACACTTGTAGGACTGCAGTTCTGTCTGCGGCAAAGGGAAGGTTAGGTCCTCCTCACCCCTCTGCAGCTTAGCGCCTGAGCAGCACAGCACGGTGCCCGGAGACACAGAAAGGAGCCAAGGGCACAAGAGTCAGGGCGCTCAGGCCTGAGACCAGACAAGTCCAGGGAACAAAGCCCAGGGCAGGATCAGGGAGGACCCCAAGCCTGGGCCACTGGTGATCACACGCGCTTCATGAAGGACACCGTTGCCTGCCCCAGCAGCCTCATTGCAACCTCAGCCACTGGGAGTTAGGCCACAAACTTTCACATGTGAAGGATATCCTGGGGCACCTGTGTCCTAAGGCTTCTAGACATCAGAGCAGCTCCCAGGCCTGGCTGTTGTTAGCCCTCAGGAGTGATCAGAATGCCATTTATTCCAGTGAGTGTCTCTGCTGCATCCCTGACAGCCTGACAGCACACAATACCCCAGGCAGACACATCTGCCCTACCATGGATGAGAGTTATGGTGACT